AATATCTAGAATGTACAAATATTTCAAAAATACTAGACCTTCAAAATAAAAGACCCAATAAAAAATGGGCAACTGAAATGAATAGACACTTTTCAGAAGAGGAAGTCAAAATGGCAAATAAGTACATGAAAACAGGTACCATATCAGTGGCCATAAGAGAAATGTAAATTAAAACTACATTGAAATACCAACTTACTTCAGAAAGAATGGCTATCATAAAAGAAATTCATTGGCATGTTTATGGAAACATGTCACATTAGATTTGAAAATATATCCTTCATTGGAAATATATATTGAAATATATTTCATATATATATTGAAAATATATCCTCTCCTGGAATATCCTATATACATATTTCATACGTATATGGAAAATATATCCTTTACTGGAATATCCTATATTCCAGTTTGAAAAAACAAAAGAAACCAAATAAAAATTGTGCTGTAAAAGGAATACTTCTACATTGTTGGTGGAAATATAAACTAGCACAATCACTGTGGAAATCACTGTGGAGATTCCCCAGAAAACTAAAACTGTAAATTCCCAGCTATTTCCATTTTAGGTATCTTACCAAAAGCCCTAAAGACATCATGCCTACCATATCTATAGCAGCACAATTCATAATAGCTAAATCTTTGAAGTGGCCCATATGTCCATTAACAGAAAAATGGATAAAGAAAATGTGGTATTTATATATAATGGAGTACAACTCTTCCACACTAAAAGATAAACTTGAGTTATTTGGAAGAAAATCAATGAACCTTGAGACCACAATGTCAAATGAAATAAATCAGACACACAAGTTTAAATACTGATTAGTTTCTCTTCTATGAGAAACCCAAACTATAAAGAGCAAAATAAAAGACAGATAATAGGAAGTAGGAAGATAAATCTTCTTCAAATGGGAAGGTGATCAAGAGATGGAGAGATAGAAGCATGGGGAGAGGGAAGGGATAGGGAAGGGCATGGAAAAAGAATTGAGATATGTTATATACATGCACTAACTCCCCATGAGGAATGTAATCATATGCACTGCAGGCCCAGGAAAAGCCTCCCCCACTGCCATTTCATGCTCCTAGAGCAGAGAAGGTGAGCCAATCCCAGCACCCAGGAAAAGGCTCCCCCACCACCATTCCACACTCCTAGGGCAGAGAAGGTAAGCCAATCCCAATGCCCAGGAAGAGGCTCCCCCGCCACCATTCCATGCTCCTAGGGCAGAGAAGGTGAGCTCTTCAAGTACAAAAAGCACCCCACCAACCCCCATGGAAATGAGAAGACTCGTAAACAAGCCTCAAAAACAGACTTCCAGATCACCTACAGCAACCCCAAAGGGAAACAAGATGGAACAATCTGATACTCAACCACCTGGACTGCCTGAACTAGCAACCAAAGAGGATCTAGAAAAAATAAAATCAGAAATAAT